GCCCCCACCCCGGGACCCCCGAGCGCTCTGAGGGGCGCCCCCCCGTGTGTGGGCCCCCCCAATCCCCAAATCCCCCCCGTACCCCATATCCCACCCCCCGCGTGGGGCACCCCGGGGTGGCGGGGGTCTCACCTGCAGGCAGGCGCGGCGGTGCAGGAGGGTGCCGGGGGGACACTGGCACCCCTCCTGGCACCCCCCCGCGCACCCCACGGCGCCCCCCAGGTGGGCGCAGCTCCGGGGGCACCCCGAGTCCCCCCCGCACTCCCGGAAGGTGCGGCCCGGGGGGCAGCCGGCGTCTGCACCCCGAAAAACGCTCAGAGCCGAGGGCACCCGGCCCATGCCCCCCGAAAAACGCTCAGAGCCGAGGGCGCCCGGCGTCTGCGCCCCCCAAAACCCCTGAGCGCCCCCAAAACCCCTGAGCGCCCCCAACACCCCTGAGCACTGTCCCCGTGTCCCGTCCCCGTGTCCCGTCCCCGTGTCCCGGTCCCCGTGTCACCATCCCGTGTCCCGGTCCCGGTGTCATTGTCCCTGTTTCACTGTCCCCGTGTCCCCGTCCCCGTGTCACCATCCCGTGTCCCGGTGCCCGTGTCCCGTCCCCGTGTCCCGTCCCCGTGTCCCGTCCCCGTGTCCCGGTGCCCGCGGGGCACTCACCGCGGCACGCGTGGCTGTGGCAGCTCTGGCTCTGCAGGGCCGGGCCCGGGCACGGGGGGGTCCCGCAGCCCCGGCGGCGCCAGCGCTCGCCCCCCCCGCACGGAGCGCTGCAGCCGCCCCAGGGCCCCCACGGCGACCACCGGCCCCGGGCGGGCTCCGAGCCCCGCGGTGACACCGGCACCCACGGGAGCTCCGAGCCCCACGGTGACACCGGCACCCCCGGGGGCTCGGGGGTCTCCGTGCCCCCCGGCGGCCGCGGGGACCCCGGGGGCGGGGGCTCCTCGGTGGCCCCGGGCGGCCCCGCGCTGCCGGGCTCTGGGGACAGAGGGACGCGAGGCTCGCGGGTCCCGGTGGCACTCGGGGGTCCCAGCTCCGGGCCCGGGGGCTCGGGGGGTCCTGGCACGTACCGGGTCCGCAGAGTTCGGCACAGCCCCGGACCTCTCGGGGGGTCCCGGTGCAGGGGGCGCCGCCCTCCGCGACCGCGGGGTTGGTGGGAGACCTGTGGGGAGGGGGAGGTGGGGCAGGACCCCCGTTATGGGGCAGGACCCCCCGTTTTGGGGCAGGACCCCCGTTATGGGTGTGACCCCCCCCGTTATGGGGCAGGACCCCCGTTATGGGTGTGACCCCCCCGTTATGGGTCAGACCCCCCGTTTTGGGTCAGACCCCCATTATGGGTCAGACCCCCCGTTTTGGGTCAGACCCCCATTATGGGTCAGACCCCCGTTATGGGGCAGGACCCCCATTTTGGGGCAGGACCCCCCGTTATGGGGCGCCCCTCACCTGAAGCGCTGCCGGGTCCCACTGCTGCAGTCACAGCGGGTCCAGGGGGTCCAGCGCGACCACCCGCAGGATTCAGGGGGGCCCCGGTTCCCGGGGACCCCCAGCACCCCCGCAGGGACCCCGCAGGCGCTGGAGGGAAGAGGGGGCGGCTCCGAATCCCGGGGACCCCCTGGGAGGCCCCCGGTGCTCAGGGACCCCGGTTTTTGGGGACGCCCAGCACCGGGATTTGGGGTACCGATGGGTTTGGGGTGCAGCAGGTTTCACGGTACGGGTGGGATTCGGGGTTCAGAGGTGTCGGGGTTATGGGGTTGGGGTACGGTGGGGTTTTGGGGTACCCGGGCTCGATGCAGCCGCTCCCCTGCAGGACCAGCCCGGGCCGGCACCGGCAGCCTGGGGGTGGGGGCGGTTCAGGGGGGCTTCA